AGCGGGCTGCCGGCCAGAGGCCAATGGCGGGCCTCCTCCGGCAGCCCGCGGCCCGCCCCCTCGCCTCCCCTCCCCTTCTCCCCAAGAAGACCCGAAGCGGTAGCAGCCTTCCTCGCCCCCGCCCCTTCGGCCCCAAATAGCGCGTTTCGGGGAGAAGGGCTAGCAAGCAGGCGCGTTTGCAAAGGCACTCTGGGAATGAAAGGAATGGCAGGAGAGTGGGTGCCTGGAGGGGGGGGGGGCTCCTCGGCGCGAGGACTCCCTGGAACTGAAGGCTGAGCCCCGCTGGAGGGGCATCCCACCAAAGGCCTGTCTACCTGAGTGCAGGGGCGGATCGACTATGAAACTAATGAAGCTTAAACTCCACGGCCCCTCATTCTGCAGGGGCCCTGAGGCAATTATTTTTTAAGAGTGAATTTTTCAACAAAATTAATGGCGTTTTTAAAGTGTTTGTCATTAAAATAAGGCTATTTTAGTGACAGAATCATAAACCAATGGGTATGCTCAAGTGGTTAAGACGCTGAACTGCAGGCTGTGGAAGGTCAGTAGTTCAGCGGTTCAAGACCCGGGTGCCGCATGATGGAGTGAGCTCCCATCTCTAGTTCCAGCTCCTGCCAACCTAGCAGTTCGAAAGCAAGAAATTGCAAGTAGATAAATAGGTACCACTTCGGTGGGAAGGTAACAGCGTTCCGTGCGCCTTGGTGTTTAGTCATGCCGGCCACATGACCACGGAAACGTCTTCGGACAGCGCTGGCTCTTCGGCTTTGAAACGGAGATGAGCACCGCAACCCTAGAGTCGGATTCGACTGGCTTTCGAGCAAGGGAACCTTTACCTTTACCTTTTTATGCTCTAATACCCTTTCTCTGCCATTGGGGCCCTGAGGTCCCTGCAAGAGCAGCAAAGCCCTTTAGACCTTGTCGGATGTGGCACTATTGTTGCTGGTTGAGAAGGGGCCCCCATAACCGTTCAGGCTTCAGCTCCAAAAAGTGTTGGTCTGCCACTGCCTGAGTGGACCCATTTTAATCGGGTAGCCTCAAAGTATTGTACAACATCTACGGGGAGTCACTGTGGGGTGGTTTTTACTCAGCACTGGCAAACTAACCAGCTAGTGGGTGGTTACCTACAAGCTTGCTTGAGCCCCATGTAGTCTCAGTTCTCCCTGCCAAGGTGGCTCATTCATGGAATATGTGAAGTAATCCTATATAAGAGAGGGCCTTTGAGCTACAGTTGCCAGATCCCAAGTAGGTGCTGAAGTTCAGTTACAGAGAGCAGTTCCACAGGAGGAAACTGCTGCTTTAGAGGGGATTAGACCCCATTGAGCCCCCTTCCTAAATCCCACCTCCCCCAGGCTCCACACCCATATATCCAGGAATTTCCCACCCCTGAGTTGGCAGCTTTGCTTTCAGCATGTGCAGAAGGCTCTTCCTTCAGTCATGAATTACTAGGACAGCTAACCCACACAAATGGACAGAACAGAAGACACAGCTCAGTGGCACAAAGTTTAGAAGTTGAGTCCAGCTCAGCTTTGAAAGGATGTGGCGCATGTACCATCCTCACAAGTTGGAAAGGGTGTTGTGATTGCAAAAGGACAAAGTACGCTTCCTGCCAGAAGAAGCAAATGGAGGAGTGGGGGGGTGGACATAGAAATCGATCGATCTAATTTATTACAGCAAGAGCCAGTAAAGCAGTACAATTAGGCCAAGATTTTATATTTCTGAAGTTCTTGGGTAGCGAAGCTTCTTCATTTTGTAATTCAATATCACGAAGTCTCTGCGGGACAGCTATTCTTTCCTTGTATAGGGTTAGGGGCTTCCATAGAATAGATCTTCTGGGAATAGGCCAATCTTATTTAACTTATTAAGAATTTGTGTGGACCAGGCAGGGTAAGGGTCCGAGGCTAAAAGGTAAGGTATTAAACCCTTCGGGTTGCAATGAATGTTTAGCCAGAGTGTTATAGCCTGCCCCCAGACCTTTGCTTCAACTCTGAGTATCCCAGCCTCTTGCCTAAGTGTTACTTTAGAAGTGCTTCTAGGAACGCCAAATAGAGATCTAAGAAATTTAGACTGAACCCTTTCAAGGGTCTTTAGATTGCCAGAAAGTCTGATTTGTGAGCCATACAGGAGTTGAGCCAACGATTTTGCCTGGAAGGTTTTAAGTCTTGTTAGCCAAATTGCTTTATTTTATTAATAAGCTTGGGGAAATTATGAATATTAAATGGAAATAGGCATAAAATATAGGATCATAACCTTTGTATACAAGAGTCAGAATTCCCAGAACCATTGAATAGACGCAGAGGCTGTGTAGCTAAAATAATGATTTCTTTACTAAAGGTTTTTCAAGCATACAAATAATAATCAAATATTCACACATGCAATACAGAGCTAAGAATATAGAGTTGAAAGAATACAGATATTTGCATGAGTAGGAATATCATTGATGGGGTAATACTTTATGTGTCCAACGAGACACTTGGATCATGCAGTGAAAAATAAAAACACAATGAGGGGGAAGGGATCGTGAGCTGACCAGCAACACATGTGGACTGATTCCAAACAGGCTTAGACTTATTTTGGCTTTTGAGACCTTAGAGAGGGTTTCTACTAGGAAATGGTACAATTTAACTTTCCAGCAGTACAAGGCTCTTAAGCAATTTAGGAATAATGAAACAATCGTGATCAAGCCTGCTGACAAGGATGGTGGAGTGGTTGTTATGGATGTACCCATGTATTGCAATATGATAAAGGAATTATTACAGGTGTCTGCTCATTATAAAAGATTAGATGGTAATCCAACAGCTCATGTTATGAGCGTGATTTCTATAATGATTAATGATGCAGCAACACAGGGTTTGATTGATGATAGAACTTCTAAGTTCTTGGTGAATAAATTTCCCAGATGCCCTGTTTGTATGCTCTACCTAAAATTCACAAGGGTAAAGTTCCACCCCCAGGTAGACCTATCGGGTTCTGTTTCACTTCTGGAGCCCTTGTCTCAATATCTTGATAGTTTTTTACAACCATTTGTGCCACTCCTTAAGTCGTATATAAAAGATACTGCCCACTTTATTCAAGTGGTTGAATCTTTGACAATGGATACAGCTAATCTCACATTACTGGTAATGGATGTAGCATCTCTATATACTAACATCACAAGAGGAAGCCAGGATTATAGTTGAGAATTATTTGGATAAAAGGGATAATACCTGGCCTCTGACTTATTTTCTAATGCAGATTCTTGATGTTCAGTCAGAATTTTTTCTACAAGTATGTGGAGTCTCGGTGGGAAGCTCTTGTGCACCTTCCATTGCCAATCTATTCATGGAAAATTTTGAAACAACCTTTTTCTATGATGTTAATGTAAACCCTTTTCATCAGCATATACGGCATTATTTTCGTTATAATGATGACATTTTTTGTATTTTTGATGGAGCTGGTATAGTTTCTGCTTTTGCGGATTGGTGCAATACTTTACACCCATCTATTAAGTTCAATTTGTAAAGTGATCCTTCCTGTATTAATTTTTTGGATTCCACTGTGTATGTTTTTTTGGTTTGTTTTCTTACATTTTCCATACAAATAAATCATTTTTCCATTAATACATATATTTTCAGACCACTGTGTATGTTTTGAACCAAACAAAGTTAGGGGTTAAGCTTTATCATAAACCCACTGACTGCAATTCCCTTCTACACTATAAGTCTTTCCATCCATATTAAAGATAATCTTCCATATAGTCAGTTCCTTTGAGCTAAGAGAAACTCCACCAGTTCTATGGATTATAAGGTAGAGGCTAATAACATTGTTAGAGCCTTTGTTCAGAGAGGGTATCCTAAAAGAGTTGATACTTAGAGCCAAGAAGAGGGCAGATGTGTTAACTAGAGAAAAAATCTTCACACAACAAAAGCAACCAAGTGGATCTTCCTTCTCTTTTGCTTTGCAATTCTCTCCAAAATCAAATAGGATTGTTAGTATACTTCGCAGACATTGGCATATCATACAGCATTTACAGGGATGTTCTAACTTTCCCAGAATAGGGCACAAAAGGAGCCTTAATGTTCAGGACATGGTTGTTCATTCAGATATGAATAATTCACAGGCTGAGTCCAATTTGCCATCAAGACACTTTAAATGTGGTAAAAATTGTTTAATGTATCAGCATACCACCCAGACTAATGAAATTGCTATAAATAATTTTGTATGGAAATTGAAGCATTTCACTAACCAGAAGCATTTCATTCAACCAGAGTGGTCTACGTTTTATGGTGTTCTTGCCCCAAGTTTTATGTGGGGTCCACCATGATGAGTTTAAAAATTTGTACATTGGAACATATGTCTCGAGTTAGACTTAAAAATCAGGATGCTCCTATTGTGAGCCACTATTTGGATCAAGAACATGATGTTAGTGATATACAATGTGCAGCTGTTTATAGAGTAGTTAGTGGCAAGACATATGTCATTCAAGATATGCATAGATTATTACTTCAGAAGGAAGCATTCTTTATACATAAATTTAATACAGTGTCTCCACATGGGTTAATTGTATCTCTGGAACTTAGTTCATTTTTATAGTGATAAGTAATGGTACTTGGATCTGAATTCTGTATCATAGTAGGCTTAGTTAGGAATCTGGGTTTGGTACATTTTTTCATTGTTTGATGGCTAATTTTTATTAATAATA